CGATTTATTTATTTATTTATTTTATGTATGTGAATACACTGTTGCTGTCTTCAGACACACCAGAAGAGGGCATCGGATCGCATTATAGATGGTTGTGAGCCACCATGTGGTTGCTGGGGATTGAACTTAGGACCTCTGGAAGAGCAGCCAGTGCTCTTAACCACTGAGCCATCTTTCCAGCCCTGTCTGGTGGTTTCTTTGTTTATCTATGGGGAGAGCAGATTCCAGGAACCTCAGACATTCCCAGGACAAAGCATGGCCATGATCTTGGCCACAGTATCCTCCTTTTTCGACCCCTAGGCCATCAGTCTAGGTGGGATGTTTTCTGACTTAGCAAAAGTCTAATAACCAATTTGAGCTGGACTGGGTAAGGTTTCCCTGCTATAACTAACTCATAAAGAGCCTACTGAGTTGCCCTGGGCCTAGAAATCCTTGATCATGAAGCATATGTGCTGATTCCAACACTCATCCCATAGCAGGCCACTTGGCCAGAAGCTAGGGAGTGCAGGCTGAACACCTGACTGCCTGTCTCCACACTACCCCTGACTAGTTATGGGACCTCCATGGAAGTCCCCTTTTCTCTCTGAGCTTGCACTCCTATCAGTAGTATGGGGGCAAGACTACAATTACTGTGTAAAGAATTTAAAAAACAATGTGTGGGATGAGAGAGAGAGAGAGAGAGAGAGAGAGAGAGAGGGCAAGCTCAGTCATTAAGAGCACTTACTGCTTTACCAGAGGACCCAAGTTCCTAGAACCTACATCAAGAACAGGACTGCTTGATGGTCTACCTCCAGGGCATCTAATGCTTTCTTCTGGTCCCTGTGAGTACAAACACATGTGACATCCATGGACAAACACATATATGTGCATGTGAATACAAATAAATCTTACACACACACACGTGCACACACACACATGCACACACACACATGCATAAGCCAGCTGGGGAGCTTGCTTAGTTGGTAAAGTGCCTGTTACAGAAGCACGAAGACCTGAGTTTGAGCCAGGCATGGTGGCACACACGTGTAATCACAGTCCTGGGGAAAGAGACAAGAAAATCCCTGAGGCTCCTTATCCATCCAACTGAAGCAAATCAGCAAACCCCAGATCCTAGCAAGGGATCTTGTGGTAACTCCGGAGACGCAACATCCAAGGTTGACCTCTGGCTTCCACATCCATGTGCATAGACATGGGTGTACCAACACAAACATAGAGACACTGACACACAGAGAAAACTGCCAGTCCCTGGGCAGAGTTCTCCTCCCATACAGCTGCCACAGCATTGTTAGGGGCCTCAGACCTCCCTCAAGAACCCTGTGTCAACAAGACCCCCCGCACCCGCCTCAAAAAAGCAATGGTATTAAGAAAATCTGTTTATCACACACACTGGTGGAATAGTGAATCTCTGCCCTTACCTTATATTCAGTGAGGCCCTGTCCCTGCCAAGCAGGGCCCAGTTCCAAGAGCCTCAAGGCTATACTTTGGGCCTGTTCCAGGGCAGAGAGAAGGCTGGGTTGGGCACTGGCCAGGGTCGTGTTAAAGGAGTTGGCCATGGGCTCACTGCTGTGGTCTCTGAGAGCTGTTTCTTTGTGTTACTCAGAGGGAAACTGAGGCTCAGAGGTTCTTTGGTGAACTTCTCAGGGGCTTGAGGACAAGCGAGAGGGACAGTCCCCAGCACTTCCTCTCAATTATTCCAAGACCCAGTCTCATTGTCCTTGTGTTGGCTGAGCCCCTCCTCCTCACTTCCCCACAGTTATCAGTCAGCCCAGTTCCCCGCCAACCCCCCACCCCACCAACCCACTGCTGCTCTGAGGCTGCTGGCTCAGGAGCCCCAGATTTTGCTGAGCAAGCAAAGCCAGAGGTGCTGTCTCTGCACAAACAGCCACTGGCCAGACCTTCCTCTCTTCCTTCTCCAGGGTCTGCTTTCTAGGGGGTGCTGTAGCTTGGAAATGGGGATTGGTTAAGAATACAAACCCCAGTCCATCCGGAGGCTTCAGCTTCAGCAATGGAGGGTCCTGAGGCTTCCAGAAGAAGACATGTTTGTCTTTAGTTACACAGAATGCCAGAAAGAGCTGGATTTTGCTCCTCACTCACAAAATCCAGGGGTGGCAGGAAGTGGGTCTATTATGCCAGAACTGTTTGTAGGCTCTTCCTGCCTGCTGAGGCCTGGTGCTTCCTTTCTGGTCCGCCTTTGTGGACTTCTATCATATTGACATTTCCACTAACGATGCCATGGCATTGATAACATTCCTTTGCTTTAACCATGTCGATCCAAACGCATTTAACTGCCTCTGCTGTGCCAAGGTTTTCTGCCCATCCCCCTCAACTCTTGGGAGTGACAGTTATTGGGACAATTCTATCTATGGTATAAGGATTGATACACTTATATTCATTTTTCAGCTCAACAAATGTGAATTAAGTTTGCACCTAGTAGTGGTCGCCTGCTGTGTACCAAGCACTGCCCTGTGCCCTAGGTTGGGGATGGTGGGTGACAAAAGTGCATGAGTCCTGCCTTGGCCCCTAAGAAAGTTCATGTTTGGTCATTCTGCCCTTGTGATAGTTCAGTTACAGCTTGTAGTGGCTCTATTTTACAGATGGAGAGACTGAGGATTATGTGATGGGTGTATAGCCTAGGGTTGGTCCCTGGGCTCAGTTCTTCAGGTCTTGAGTTCCCATCCTGTATGTGTTTATGATCTTGTTTGCCTTACAGCCCACCCCAACAAGACGAGGGCCTCCCTGTGGGCCTCTCTGCTATCTCAGTCCCCTGGAAAAACCTGGGTTCCAGCAAAGGTAACAGGGAATCCCCAGGAGGCTTGGTAGAAGCCTCCACTTCCTGGGAGGAGACCCGGGGTGAGGAACACCCAGCAGCTGCTCCACTGGATGTGTCACGCCTGCGCAGCTCCTCCATGGAGATCCGAGAGAAGGGTTCCGAGTTCCTAAAGGAGGAGCTATACAAAGCCCAGAAGGTGGGTGCTCCAGCATAGGGTTGGGGACTAAGGAAGAGCAGCTGCACTGAGTGAGCCCAGATAGCTGTGGAAGGAAGGAAGAGGAGAAATCACTTGTTAAAGCCACATGCCAGGCCCGTGCAAGAGACCTGGGAACTCAAAGGAAGAGGCTGGTTCAACCCAGGGCTTCAAGCAGGCTAGGCATGCACGCTATCACAGAAGTCTCAGAAGTCTAAAATGACTTTCACACATCTTGGTTTACCCAGAAATCTGCTTCTAGCTGAGATGGGCTGCCAGGCTAGGGTTTTAACCTTGTGCATGTGCTAAAGTACCACTGAATGTCAGATACCTGGTGACAGACCCAGAGCTGGTGGCTGGGGAAATGGAGCCTGGCTAGGGCAGGCTAATAGCCTCCTGCCTGTATCCAGGAGCTGAAGCTAAAGGATGAAGAGTGTGAACGGCTTTGCAAAGTTCGTGCACAGCTGGAGCAGGAACTGGAGGAGCTGACAGCCAGCCTGTTTGAGGTATGCTGGGCAGCCTGGGAATGGGTGGCCCATGTGTCCAGTGTCTTGTGACTGCTCATGCAGAGGTACTGCTCTTCTAGGAAGCTCACAAGATGGTTCGGGAAGCCAACATGAAGCAGGCAGCATCAGAAAAGCAGTTGAAGGAGGCTTGGGGCAAGGTGAGACCCATCCCTGTATGCCTAGGCCAGCCCATGGCTCCTGTCATAGTCCTTGCTCTGGGGTGTACTACCCTCAGCTAGCAAGAGCATTCAACAGGTCCCTTTCAGACCTACCAGACATCAGGACCAGGAGAACCCAGGTCTGAGACAAGTAGGGTGGGTCTGAAATTAAGTAGCCCATGGCACCAGATTCCATCAGTGTTCTTGTTGCACCACAGAGGGTCCCCTGGATCCCAGGAGGACCCAGTGGTTATTACAGGTTCTCCTCCTGTCTCCAAAGCAGAAATGTTGGCCAGGGTGGTAGTGCACAGGCAGGGAGTTTCCTCTCTTAGACTCCAATCAATAACTGTGAGGCTATAGCTGCTTTTCTTGGCTTCTGGGGATTCATGAATACTTAGTAGGGACTCTAGGAAGTTCCTAGATGCTTGCCTCCAGCAGAGTCTCACAGTGTGACCTGAGGCAGGTCATGTCTCCTGTCAGCCTTGGGTTCCCTATCTCTAGAATAGATGTCTTACAACTTGTTCCAAGGGTCAAGAGACAGGTTACGTACTGCTGGGGATGCTTGGCTTCCAGGCTGTGGTAGCCATGGTGACATTAACCTCATGTTGGGGTTGATGGCCGTCTTGTCTGGGACAGATCGACATGCTACAGGCAGAAGTGACAGCCTTGAAGACACTGGTCATCACATCCACACCTGCCTCTCCCAACCGTGAGCTCCACCCACAGCTGCTGAGCCCCAACAAGGCCGGACCCCGAAAGGGCCACTCACGCCAAAAGAGCACCAGCAGCTCCCTCTGCCCTGTGGTATGCCCCACTGCAGGACATATCCCCAACCCTGACAAAGAAGGCAAGGAGGTGAGGCACAGACTATAGTGGACTCACAGTTGGGAGGGTTGATTATGCTTAACCAGCTGAATCAGCATCCTGAAAAAAAGCCATCCTGACCCCTCCTGTGGGACCTGCCACCTGTTTTTCTCCTCTCTGGGCTTCAGGGTCCCTTGAACCATGCAGGCTGGGCAGGCTGATTCCAAGCAGGAGGTTATAACCTTTGAACTTGAGGCTATTAGAACCTGAAGGTCCTCTTTCAGGAAACCTCTCCAGAAATACACTTCCTGTGTTAAGAGTGATAGACAGGTGCCACTGGACTTCTAGAGAGGGGCTAGTTGGTATTTTGTGACTACAGTCTTGGAGTCTAAGACCACACTGTGACACTTGTATATTCTAGGGTCCTTGATGAAGCAACTATGGCTTTAGACAAATGTCTGTCTCCTGCCTCAACAGGAAACAGAGGGAGGAAGGCTTGGTCCAGGCTGGATTGACAAGACTATAGGTCCTTGGATAGCTGTTAAAATGTCCATTACTTCACATGCCACATACTTAGGGTGAGGAATTGTGTGGATGCTAAAAAGCCAGTCTTTTTAGTATCAGATGAACACTGGGGAGACATAGGGTGAGATTCAGCTTCCTGGACTCTTGCTCAAGCCCACCCTAGCTCAGATCTTTTTTCCTTCCGTCTCCTGAGCTTCTAGGAAGGAGGTACAAACAAGTCCTTTCAGTTCCCTTCTAAGCACTGAGCTTCCCATTGGACACTGATATCTCCTCCTTCCTCCTGTCTTTCTCTGTATGTCTGTCTGTCCATCTGTCCATCCATCCTCTGGCCCAGCCTGGGCTGCCCCCTCTACTCTCCCTGCTCCTGTGCGTGATCCCCAGCAAGGCCATCCACCTCACCTACGAGCCGACCTGGCAGCTCCCATCTGGGGAGCGGCCCACGACCCCCAACTCCGATACCTCTCTCTCCTTTTCCCGACAGGTAATGGCTCCTTTAGAGGCCACCCCACATATCCCCTCTGGGCTTCACTCACTGTGCATGCAGCCCAGGGCAAGCCATTGTTGCCCCTTCCAGTGGGCAGCAGGGAAACCTGTGAAATGTTCTCTCCTGTGTGCATGTACCTATATGTGCATCCTGGACATAGAGAGACCCGTGGGTTCCTGTGGGGACCCATGGGTTCTTACAGGCTTGCTCTTGATGTTTCTCCTACAAGGAGTCAGTAGCAGCATTCAGGCCAAGGCCTTGGATCCAAGTCTGTAATTTTGCAGTGCCAAGAAACTTAATGTACACCCAGACACAAACCATGTTGTTCTAAATTCTTTGGTGCAAAGGGCAGACAGGACCTCTTCTTTGCCTGGACTCTGCTCCCCCGCATGGCTGCTGAGGACAGGCCTGAGCGTCCACTGAGCACTCCTGCATTTCCCTGCTCTTCTCTCCATCAGCCTTGCTTACTCTGGCGTGCTCACCCTTATCCCTGACTGTCCTCCACCTGGCTCCCTTCTTCTCCAGGTGGATACAACCCTGTTTGCAGAGTTCCAGGCTTGGAGGACATCACCTACCCTGGATAAGAACTGCCCCTTCCTAGAAAGGGTGTACCGGGAGGACGTGGGTCCTTGCCTCGACTTCACAGTGCAGGAGGTGAGGTGGGCTAAGAGTGGCTAGCTGGGGACCCAACCCATCAGTTCCCCATCACCCAGCAACTCACTGCTCTACTCTGATCTGCCACAGCTCTCAGCTCTGGTTCGGACTGCTGTGGAGGACAACACACTCACCATTGAGCCCGTGGCTTCACAGACTCTGCCCACTGTGAAGGTGCCCACTGTTGAGTGTAACAACACCAAGTAAGCGTAGTGCCCTGGGCCCTTTCCTGCCCACATGGGAAAGTTCAGCATGGAGCCTTGGGCAGCACCCTGAGGGACTGGGATAGGAACCTGAGCCTTGGGCCTCCTAGATGGATATAGAGCCTCAGATGGGTAGGGGCTATAACATTCAGGTCTTCATGACCTAGCCATAACCCAGGGTTCATGACCTAGCCTAGCGACTACCAAGAGATGGACATGGGGTTGAGGCTATAACTTAGTAAAGTCCTTGACTAGCATGCACAAAGCCATGGAAACTGTCCCCATCGCTGTAAAACCAAGTATGGTGGCATACACCTGTGATCCCAGCACTTGGGAGGTAGAGGCAGGAAGATCAGAAGTTGAAGGTCATTCTTGACTACTTAGCAAGTTCAAGACAAACCTGGCTTACATAAAACCCTGCTTAAAAAATAAAAATAATAAACTACAAGAGAGAAACAGTCCCTATGGTCCCCATTTAGGAGCAGGAATTACCTTTGACAAAAATTCCTGCTGCCAGCTGGGGTGTCTCTTCTAGCTATAGTCATCTCTGCCCCCTCTCTCTCCTCTTCTATCCCAGAGATACACTGGGCTCTGATTGGTAAATATGTGGTCGCTAGTGGCTGGATCTATCTCCTGTCAATAAATGACTAACAGCCTTGGCGTCTTATCCCGCATGCTGCTCAGCCGGCACTGAGCAGAGGTAGCAGCAGAACTAAGAAGTTAAGGTGGACTGAGGACCAGGCTGGTTCCCCCTCCTTTGGGATTCCAGAGCTTGTTCGGTGGGGCTGGTTCCACAAAGGAAGCTCAGCCACACAGAGAGAGTATTTGAGCCAGCTTTATAGGCAGAAGAAAAAGAATGAATGAAAGCTGGAGTTTGAAACACATCAGAGTCAGGTTGTAGCCATGGAGCAGGGGTCTGGGGCTGAGTCTGGGGGCATTGTTTGAGGCCAGACTATAAAGAGCTTCTGCAAGGTAGGGCACCAACTTACTAGGATAGTGTATGAGGGGTCCCCAGCAGATGCTTCCTTAACAGAGAGTTCTCTGGTCCATTCAGCCTCAGTCAAAGAAGAGGCAACAAACACTATCAATTGTCCTATACTTGGGATTCTGAAACTATGTCCCAGGTGATATGGAAGCCACGGGGAAAGATGGTGGATTCAATGTGGCCTTTGGAGAAGCTCCTAGCTATAATGTAGAGAATAAAGAGTGAGGGAAAAGAGAGAGTGGTTGGCAAGAACTGAGGGAATCCAGGCAAAAGGGATGAGTAGTCTGGGGACATGGTGACCAAGCACAGGTGTGGGGGTGGGAGCCAGGAGAGTTCATCATGGAGGCAGGGGCTGGTGGAGGAATGATTTGGGAGGATGGGCTCTCAGGACAACTGAAGCCTAATATATGGGTAGCTGAAGGTGCTAAGTGGGTTTCCTAGGCCTGGCTGGGGGAGAGGTGACATGGGAAAGGGATTCTTATGAGGCCTGCTGGGCAGGGACAACACAGAGCTAGATGAAAAAGCCTGGCATGGGGATGTGAGAGGCAGGCAGACCAGAGCTCAGAGAAAGAGGTGATTGGGCATAAAGATCCCAGTAATGGAGTGGGGAGGCAGTTTTAGAGGCTGTGGAGGGTGGGACTCTCATATACCTGGTGTGAGGTTGACCAAGCTCCCCTGCCTATGTGGGGAAAGGAACGGGGTCTGGGCGTGGATCCAGCTGCATTTAAGGTTTATCCTGAAGACTCTTGCCCTACCTCACATCTTTGTTTGACCCTGGGCTCCTTTGGAAGATGGGAGTGGGGGAGGCCAAGCCCTACTTCCTGCCTGCTTGCTGTGCTCACTCTCCAGACACATTCCCTGCATCTGTGACCTTCATTCAGCACCTTACTCTTCCTCTGTTCTCCCCAGCACATGTGCTCTGAGTGGACTGGCACGTACCTGCCACCATCGAATCCGCCTGGGGGACTCTGACAGCCACTATTACATCTCACCGTCCTCCCGGGCCAGGGTGAGTCAGCCATCCCTCACCTTTGTGCTGGGCAAAGTTGTATAGTGGAAGAGACCGGAGCTGAGGAGGGGCTAATGGTTTGATATGTGACCCTTGCTTAGAGACACTGAGGTGTTGGCAGAGAACACAGCCCCGGGGAGAAACCACTCTGCCTGTTACCAGCTACTCACCAGGCATCTGCGTTGCGCCAGCCCTCCCCTGACACCCCAGCCTTGCTTCCCCTTCCCAGAACCAGGCTAGGTCACACCAGGCTGGTGCTCCTCTCCTTTCTCACACTACCCTGCTTGGGTATCCTCCCTCCAATTCCAGCTCACTTCACCCTCTCTGGCTTCCTGGCAAGTTCTGTGTTTGGGGGACTGGCAAGAGCACCACCCCTCCCTATAGCCTCTTTCACTCACCAGTCTCTGGGTGCCTCACATGGAGGGCTTTCCTACCCAGGAACACTGGGTAGAGGGTTTCTCTGGGTCTAGTTACCTTCCATCTTGACTAGTTCTCTAGATGCAGAGACTGCATGGACTTTTCTGGAACTTCTCAGTGGAGGGAGGGAAACAGGATGAGGGCAAGGAAAGGGGGCAAGACAAGACTGAGCTTAGCTTTGGCTAGATCTAGAGAGAGTCTCAAGCACAGAGCAGTCTCCATCCTAGCCAAAGAACTGGCCTGTGTTCCCTCCACAAAATGGGCACCATGGGCTCAGTGTAGCCTAAATCATCAGAAGCTGGGAGAAAAAGCCAGGCCTGGGGATGGCCTCTGGGCAGGATAGCAACAGAGCCTCTCTGTCCTCTCTATAAAAGTCTTTGCAGCTGTGCCTGTGCTGGTGAAGGGTCACTAGAGCTTGGGAACAGGCCTCTTTAGCCATACTTGGTCCTCAAGCATAGTGACCAAAGCAGCTCAGGGAAGTGGCTCTAATTGCTTTTTCTGGAATTACACATGGGACCTAGTTTATGTCTGGCAGGCCCAGACCTCCTTGCTCCAAAGGAGTAGGTCCACTGAGGACTGAGCTCGGCTGTTAGTGCAGGCTGCCTGCTTCCATCTCTCAGCTTGACCACTTTCTCATTCCACGCTTGACAGTCTTTATCGCAGGTAAAATGGGCACTGTGAGTGTCTGAGTCTCACTGACTGCACTGCCAATAGGCAGCTGCAGCAGGTATTCTTAGGAACAGTGGGAGTCTTGCAGTTGTTAATTAAACCTGGGAAGCCGAACTCTAGAAGAGTTGAAGAACATCCTCAGGCTCTGCCAGGTTCTGGACCGTATTGTTATGGAATAGGCTTCCCAGTGGCTTTCAGAGAGGCCCCTAGAATATGGGGAATCTGGTGGGTCACACCATCTCCATTCCACCCACAGATCACTGCAGTATGCAACTTCTTCACCTACATTCGCTATATCCAGCAAGGCCTGGTTCGGCAGGATGGTGAGTGCCCCCTAGTGGTCTTTTCAAGGAATAGTGCCCAAGGGAGAGAGGGCTGAATGGCACTGGTTAAGTGCCTTCCTTACAAGTCTACTTGTCAGCAGCAGCAGAGGCAGGCATCTAGGGTTGGTTCTTCTAGTAGAAGACCAGAAAAAGAGAGCACTGTAGGTTAACAAAGTGTTCCTGACCCTCCTTGGTGCTGGGTTCTGCCTCACCCGAATGGCAAACCTCCGTGCCTTCCACCTATCTGGGTTAAGCTATTTTTTCTTCTGCATAGAAATTTTTCTATGGCAGCAAAGACAGCATTCCTGTTACTGGCTCTGACATTCAAAGTTCTTTATTGGGTGTCTCTCCTGTGACACTTGCCTACTTTTCCATGCCCACCAGAAATGGCTCGTCTGCCTCCTGAGTCCTTACTTAAAGGATCCTTCTCCAGATACAGGGACGGAGGCCCTGGGCCCTGCTCACTGCTCTGGGTCAAAGTGGGAAAACATTTGCAACTGGAGACGTGTAGTTAAGTCCTTATGTAAACAACTGTGTGGCAGAGAGTGCATGAATGTCTCCAGGCTGAGGGGTTTCTCACATCACTGCCCTGCCCAAAGCTGGAGAGAAGGCCAGGGCAGTTGCCAGAAGTGACCATGAACTGTCCTCTCTGTCTGCAGCTGAGCCGATGTTCTGGGAGATCATGAGGCTGCGGAAGGGGATGTCACTAGCCAAGCTTGGCTTCTTCCCCCAGGAGGCCTAGGGCATGGCCCCAGGCCTGAAGAAAGCTCTGAGCTAGAGCAAACAGCTGCCTTGGGACAGATAGACAAGAAATCCTGGAGCCAGCTCTGAGCCAGAAGCTGAAAGGACAGATAAACAGTCAGACTGTAGAGACAGTTCTGAGCCAGTACCACTCATCCCTCCTGGGACAGACAGAGAAGGACAGCCTGGCCTGGACTTCATGGGATGACCCTCTTGCCCACTGAGCTCTATAGCTAACAAGAGAATCTCAAGAAAGCACCAAAGACCAAGGAGCTTGGAGCAAGGAGCTCAGTCCTAGGGAAAGGGACCCTTGAATAGCCAGTACCCCGACCACAATTCCCCTGCTGCTTACCAGTGCTCTCTTGCTGCCACGACTTCAGAAAGGGACTGTTCTAGGGTGGCTGTATCTCCAGGGTATACTCTACCACAGCCTCTACGCCCTGGGACACCAGCACCCCCTTGTGGCCATCTCTCACTCTGTTCCCAAGTGGCCTCATTAGACTGCCCCAGTGGTAGGGCAAGTGTCTCTAATCTGAACTAGGTGGAGGGATAACTGCCCCAAAGTGCTCTGAAGGTGAGTCCGAGATCCTTCCTCCGTTCTTCTGCACAGAGGCCTCCCCTCTCCCCTTCCTCTCCACTTCAACACCATCTCCAGGAGGCCATGTTCCTAAACTCGCCAGGAAGTCTGGAACCTTTCTTCCCAAAGTGTGCCACCAGGGCAGCAGCCTCAGGACTTAACCCTGGGCAGCCATCCAGACTGCAGGGGCCCTATATGTGGGACTGGATGGAGAGGGCGGGCCAAGCAGGACATGGACCCTGCCTTATCCATCATAACCCACTGGTAACTGGGCTCGGGGGATCCAACCTGGACACATCCCTCACCACGCCCCTATTTCCTTCAAATGGAATGTAACACGATCTCTATTTAATAAAGGAAGGCTTTGTTGGTAGGGGCTAGGCGGCAGTGGCCTTCACTCCTGTGTCCTGGCTCTGGCCAGGGCTTGGGCATCTGAAGGAATGAAATCAAATCCTTTCCTAACTGGCCTCGTGCTTGGGATTAAACCCAAATCCTGAAGCTACCCCCACGGCTACCACCACTTTCTTGCTGTAGGGGGAAGGCTGTTGAAGTTGTCCTTAGCTTTTCATGGGGCTGTGGGGGATTGGAATGAGTTGCCCACTCTCTGAGTTCAGCTTTGATCTGTGAATGCCCCAGCCCTCAGAGATGACCCCAAGTCTACCAGAAGCCTGGGGTCAAAACACCTAGGCCTCCTGGGACTTGGCAGGACAGTACAGAATTGATCCATGCCACCTGTCATAGGACAGGTGAGGACTTCAGAAGTGCTAGGCATGACAGACACAAGTGGAAGGAGGTAGGGGTAACCAGGGTCCTGAGAGACCTTGGAGTAGGAATAAGGAGATGTCTTGTGGTTCCTGCCCCTGCCCAATCAGTAGGGCTTTGTGCTTTCTTGGGAGGAGGGTGCAGCAGATTCTGGGTTGGGTAAGAGGTTGTCAGTAGCCTACAGAAACTTCTCTATTGTCCTGAGGCCCAGGTGTACTCAGATGGTAGATCAGCTGGGGGCTGTCAAGGTCCCTCTGTCAAGGTCCTCTGCCTTCACATGTTCTCTGACCAGTAGCCTGTTCCCAGGACTCTGCTGCCTCCACTGCCATTCTGTGTTCTCACATCTCCTCCCTGCTCCACTGTGACTCAAATCCTTTGCTGGGTCCCCAGCCCCCATAGACACCTGGTCACTGACCAGACCCTTGTCATATCCACTCATTCACTAACCGATACTGGGGTCTCTCTGTGCTGGATGGACATTGGCCATAATACACATACCAGTAATACATCCAGGTTACTGGATGGAGGAAAGTAAAACCCAAAAGATATCAGGGAAGGACTTGGTATATACTGTGTGGGAGCCCCATGGCATCCCCTGATTATGTCAACCCTTGTTCACCTAGGGTGAACTCTTGAAAACCTGAGCACTGGACTTAATCAGACCCTAACTTCTGTGCTCTGGGCCCAGCCATGTGCAGGACCACAGAGACACCAGGAGACACCCCATGGACCTCTTTAATTGATGCAGAAGGGTAAGAGTGTAGATCAATGATAGAGTGCTTAATTCAAGGCCTGAGGTTTGATCCCCAGAACCACACACACAAAAGAAACAGATTGAGGCAGGGCTGGAATTCTAACCCAGGTTTTCTCTGCTCTACTATGGAAGTAGCTCAGGGCTTTGACTCTTGGGGCTGACTTGGGAGGTTGACTGTCACACCAGATGTTCTTAAATTTTCTAGATAACCCACTTGGGTTTCTGTGAATTCTTGGCACATGGAAATCCTTTGAGCTCTCCTTGGTCAGCCCTGAGTCTGGCTTCTAGGCATGGAGACATTGAACCTGACTAAGCACATTTACCTGGTGCAGGACCCTGAGATATCTTACTTCACCATCCTGGTGCAGCACCTGAGATATCTCACTTCACCATCTGCCAAACCTGCCCCGATTTAAATTCTGCCAGGGCTGTGACCTTGGAGCAAGTTGTTTTTGTGAGTTTTGAATTGGGGTTATTATTTTTCCCCCACAGTCTTCCCTCATTCATTCATTCATACGTGCTTGCATTTGGTATTTGTGAGTTGTGCGTGTGTGAGTGTACATGTACCATGGTGCACATGTCAGAAGACAACTCTGATATTGTCTTGTTCCTCATCTCCCCCCTTGTTTAAGGCAGAGTCTCTCATTGTCCATTGATACATAGGCCAGGCTAGCTTCTGGGAATTCTCCCATCTCTGCCTCCCACCTTCCCACTAGGAGAATAGGGATTACAGGCATGGACTACCAGATCAAACTTTATAAGATTCCTGTGGTTCTGAACTCAGGTCATCAGACTTTCACATGAAGTCCTTTATCCACGAAGCAATCTCTGCCATACTTTTTTTTTTAAACCCAACATGTAATCTTATCATACATTTTAAAGTGTAGAATTATAGTTGTATTAGGCACACTTACACTGCCATGAAACCAATCTACAAACATTTTGCATCTTGCAAAACAAATGCTATATCCATTGAATAATTCCCAATTTCTCCTGCCCCTAGACTGTGGGCATCAGTATTCCACCTTCTGCCACTGTGGATCTGACTCCTCTGGAGATTTTCTGTAAATGCAATCAGCATATTCCTCTAGTGACTGGCTTGTTTCACTTAATGTAATGTCAGTATCCATCCACATTGCAAGATGACAGGATTTCCTTTTTAAGGTTTAGTAATATTCTGATGTATGCAAAACACCCTACTGTTTTTATCCATTCATTGGAGACAGACATGGGTTACTGGTACCTGTTGATGCTTATGCAAATATCTCTTGGAGACCCTGCATAGAGTCCTTTTAATAAATGACCATTAATAAATTTGCTCATATGGTAGGGTTTTTTTTGTTTGTTTGTCTTTGTTTTTTTTTTTGTTGTTGTTGTTGTTAGAGGACCCTCCATACTTTTTTAATGGTGGCTGTATCATTTTAAAGTTCTGCCAACAACACCCCAGGGTTCCAACTTTTCTGCCTCCTGACCAAAATTATTTTTCTGGTTTTGGTAATAACCATTCTAAGAGACGTGAGGTGTTTGCTCCCTGGGCTTTGATCTGTGTCCTGAGTAGTGATTTGGGGTCTTCTCACCTTCACAGCACATTTCTGTGTATCCTGCTCTTACTAAGGGTGTTTAAAGAGCTGTGTTTCACCATAGTTCCTGATAGGCTTCTTGTTGTTGCCCTAAATAGTTTCAAACAGCCTTTACATAATCCTGTGGTGCCCATGGCCTCTGCCCCTCCTTTCTCAGAAGAGTTGTATCCTAATAACCAAACTCACGATGAGATCTGTGACTCAAGCCAAACCCTAGAGCTCTGTGACTTGAGTTCCCTCTTGTGCTTCTGCTGCCTAAGCTCCAGGACTGCTCTTTCCTAGTGGCTTCCGAGCTTTTCCTTAAAGCCCCTGCTTGCCTATCCAGCTTGTTGAGCCTCCCTGGCACTGTACAAACATCTCTTGGCTCCAAGACAGTAGCTGGTGGCTCTGTAGGGGGTGGTGATTTCAAGGCATCCAACCAGAGGCCTGGGTGGAAGCTTACAACAGTAAAGAATCCAGCTGGGGCAGAGGTAAGGGGCTATATTCAAGGCATTCAAGGGGGCTTTCAAACCTCAAGCTTGCCCCCCCCTCAAAAAAGCACTTCATTTGGCTGGCTTTCCTCTCCCTCCTACACTCACTCGAACACCCTGGCAATGATCCAATGGCAGCTCAGGAATGTCGAGTGATGCCTCTCCCTTTCCAAGTGGTCTGAGAGGCCTCAGCTGCCCGGATTTGGGGATTTGGAGACGGACAATGGAGCGTCAAGCTCCCCTAACCCCTGACTCCCTGCAAGTTGCAAGTTCTCCAGGGTCAGAGATCAGAGAGACAAAGTGGCCTAGGGATGACCCCAAGACCTTCAGAGAACTTACGTGGGAAGCTGTTTGTGTGGGAGGTGGAGAGAGGTCACTCATAGTTTAGGCTTTATGGAAACACACACCTAGATACAGATGGAGAGTCCCATGCCACCTGTAGACTCCATGCTGGACTGAAGTGGCCAGAGAGGGCAGCATGGTTAGGGCTTTGTCCTTGATTTATCTCCCCAATCTGCCCAGCCTCCACTTTGGTGTCTCTCCTGGCTAGGACACAGAGGACTTAATCCACCCCTAACTGCCTCCCATACCTGAGTCCAGGCCAAGCCCCCAGGGAAAGAACCCTTGAATGGTTCTTGAGCCAGCCACATCTTAATACTGAGAGATGCTGAGAATGGAGCAAGGACCACACCCTATGGGCATCCAAGTTTGGATACAAGAGGTGTATTCTCTAGGAAGAGTAGGCTTTCTCTATCCCAGTCCTCGCTGTGACCATGTGGGGGCAGCAGTACCTGCCTCTTTTGGTCAGGGCTCCTGTATCCTCAGGTGTGCAGAAAAAAAAGCATGTTCTAGGATTTTGAAGAGCCTCCAAAGAGACGTTTGTGGCAACGTCTTGGTCCTGTTGGTCCTGGCCAAGCAAGAGTTCCTCAGACTGGAGAGAGCCAAGAGGCTCCTTTCTTCGAGCTCTGATCTGCCTGTGACACATATATCATGGATTCTCCTTCTCTATGAGTTCCGCAGCCTAAGACGAATCAGCAGTAGATTGGACATGTTCAGAAAATAATTCTGGAAATTTCCAAAATGTAAGACTGGGGTGTGACACAATCCTGACACTCCATGTGAAGGAAGCAGTGTGTATGTAGGCTGGCCCTGATGTCACCTCTCCTCATTTCACAGGTCCCAGGTATCTTGCCAACATTCTTTAGAGTGTTGCTTGCTTCTGCTTTTCTTCCTTGTCCTGTGTATTTAGGCCTGTAATAGTTGCATCTGGACTGAACACTTTCAGCCTTTTTAGTCTTATTGTTCCCTAGACAATGCAGTGAATAATTATCTATAGAGTATTTACATCACATTAGACTTATGAGGAATTCAGAGATGGTTTAAAGTGTATGGGGGGATGTATGAAGGTTACATGCATATACTGTTTTATGTAGGCAAGAAGCACAGGTTGATTTTGGTATCCACGGGGGTGCCTTAGAGGTCAGGTCACCTACAAATCCTTAGGTAGACCAAGAGGAAATGTTAGCATATTGGAAAAAAATACACTTTAGGGTTCTGAAAATATTTTCTCCCAACGAGCAGGTCTGCCTCACCTTTCTGCCCTGAGTCACACTAGGGTGGTGTGTGGGAGTCTGTTTTAACTAGCCCTCTAGGAAGTTCGGATGGACCTTCAAGTTTGCCAGTTGTGAAAGCTTTAACTTTTAAGGAACTGATGTCTATTTCAAAGTAACATCATACAATTGGGAACATAGTTACACACTCAAGAGGATTTGGATTTAATAAGTCAAAAATATGACACCATGATTGGGGAGAACTGGGAGGTGGTAACAAGCAAGCCACTATTGGAGTCTGGATGGACCATTCTTTCATCTCATGAACCGCAGACCTCCAAGCAGCAGTGTCGTCTGCTCCTCCTCCTGCAGTGGCCAACCTGGGCATCCCAATCCTGTGTGCAGCCAGGAGAAGAGGCCATCTGCACCAGTAGATTGCTTTAGATAGCTTCCTCATGTGGATGTTGAGGGTTTGCTGGGGGGTGAGGTCCATTGTTTGGAGGCTGTTGACAAGTCACCCGAGGTAGTGTCCTCATTTCTAGCCACCTGGGATGCATAGCTAAAGACCTGTGACGTTCCTAACTACATTTCTCAGCCTCTCAGGGCTCAGACTTGGGCTCATGTCGGGCCCCTGGGTGTGCGCCTGGGCGCAGCGGCCTGCAGGACTCCCGTGCGCCGCTGGGTCCCCATCCCCCCCACCCCCCACCCCCGCTTTCTCGGTTGAGCCCAGAGTCCAAGAAACTGGGGGGCGGGACAGTGCCCCGGGGGCAGGGCCGGGCGTGGTGGCCCCAGGCCCTCGCGGGTGGGGCGAGCCCCTTCGCGACACCGCCCTCCCGGGGCAGCCAATAGATGTGGAGGCGCCGCGCCTGGATTGGAGCGGGAGCGGGACTGGCCAGAGCGGGGGCCGGTACGAGGGGCGGGCGAGGCGAGTGCTGTCAGCGCGGTTATAAGGGAGGGAAAAGTTCCCTGCGCGGAGAGCCGGGCAGGCGCACGCTCGTACGGCGGCCGCAGCGGCAGGGCGGGGCCGGCAGGGCGGGTGGAGGAGGAAGACCCCCGATTGCGACCTCGCCTCCCTCGGTGTCTCTCTTAGACCTCGGCCACGTACCGGGGTCCAGAGGACTTGTGCACAGCGGTCATGGGCGGCGTCGGGGAGCCCGGCGGGGGACCTGGGTCGCGGGAGGGGCCCGCACCGCTGGGGGCGCCCCTGCCCATCTTCCGCTGGGAGCAGATCCGCCAGCATGACCTACCAGGCGACAAGTGGCTGGTCATCGAGCGCCGCGTCTACGACATCAGCCGCTGGGCACAGCGGCACCCAGGGGGTAGCCGCCTCATCGGCCACCACGGCGCGGAGGACGCCACGGTAAGCTAACCCACAGCGGGCGGGGTGGAGCCTGGCGCTAGCCGTGAAGAGGGAGACGTGGTTCATAGGCTTGGAGTCTCATTCCACCTGCGGACCTTAGCATCCTTTTTGCTCTTTCTGACCTTTGACCCCTACTCTCTGGCTCCAGAGTTGAGATAGAGCCTGGGGTAAGGAGGTCTCTTTCTTGCACGGAGGACCAGCTGTTGAGTCAGTTGTGCAATAAATAGGTCTCAGGGAGGAATGGGCCCACGGAGGTGGGTGTGCCATGAGGGGCATATTCTTCCCTAGGTAAGTACCCGTTGTACTGAGGGTCTCATCTCTGCTCTGAGTCTCTCAGACTATTATCTGGTGCTTCCAAGAGCCAGGGGCAGGGCTAGGTCCCTAGCAATAGGGATGTGCCATCAGAGACTGGGGGCTGGGCAGCAGAGCTTGGGCAGGGCCTGGAGGTCTGTGGCTTATCCAGCACTTGTGTGGACTGTTCTGAGGGCCAGTGACTCACCTCTGCTGGGCTGGCAGCTACACGTGGGAAGACTTTGCCAGGCTGGGTGGGCCTCCATGGGAAGCACAGTCACCCCAGGCACGGACTAGTCCCTGGGGACTCTGGCTTCCCATTCTCAGTCCATGTCTAGACAAGGAGGGATGTGACTGGCCTGAAGGACTATCTGGCTGGAGCCCAGTGGTGAAGCAATTTCCCAGACCCTTCCTCCCTTAGTCCCACTCCATGGACAAAGGTTGAGGCCATGATGCTTTGCCCTCGACTATCCAAAATTGTAGGTTAGTCACACTGGGTGCCTGGAAGATCTGTAAGAGTGGTGGGAATGATTCTCTAGTGGAAGAACTTGGTTGCAGCAAAGGAGATTCTGTCTCAGGACTGTTACTGTCCCTCTCCTCCTGGATTCACTCCAGGCAACTGAAAGGGATAAGAATGAGAAGGTTCCTGAAAAATCATCAACCTGTGGGCCATAGTGTGTGTGTGTGTGTGTGTGTGTGTGTGTGTGTGTACGTTCCTCCTTTCTACCAGAGCATCATGGGCATGAGGTACCATAGCCCCTCCCACTGAGACCTGGCAACCCTGTGAGGATCATGCTGTAGTGGACAGGATGCTGGGCAGGAGAGGAGGACAGCAGAGAGCACTGATTGCTTTGTCTTGCTCAGGGCCAGGCCTGCACAGGAGGCCCGACTACATGGGATTCCTAACTTTATATTTTGCTCAGTGCCCTGAGACCTCCATCTAATGGGTTTTCTATAGCCACCATTTTGATTCACAGCCAGTAAGGTCTGTTAGGTAAACCTCTCTCTGCATCTTGTAGCAGGGTTCTGGCTCTGCCATTGAAGGCACTCAAAGGTAATTTCTCTGAACTT